CTGCTGTACTTTAAGGTTGATCAGGGAGATGGATGTGAGCCTTGGAGGCTCCTGCACAGGTTTTGTTCAAAGATTCACTCCAGGGTGTGCTGGGTGCAGTGCACATTGGACGTGACTTTGCTGTTGTCTTGGTTTAGAGACAAATGTAGGAGAAAATGCATTGGAATTAATGTTTCTTCCAAGAGAAGGGCTTCAGTAATACCTTTTGCCAACAAAAGAGAAATTAATACCAGTGGGTGAAAGTGAAAACAACCCTGCTTATAACAAAGCAAGGTACCTGCAAGGCACAGAAAAAGACTGAATAAATGCTAGATATTTATTTTCAGAACCTTACCCCTAACTCAACAAAAAACCTCAAAATGTCCAGGGAAGAAATAAACAGGCTGGCTGGCCACTTGGCTGGGAAGGCAAAAATGACAGTGCCCCCTTTGTCTCAGGGATGGGGGAAAAAAAAAAAAAAAAAAAAATTAGAGACAAATGTAGGAGAAAATGCATTGGAATTAATGTTTCTTCCAAGAGAAGGGCTTCAGTAATACCTTTTGCCAACAAAAGAGAAATTAATACCAGTGGGTGAAAGTGAAAACAACCCTGCTTATAACAAAGCAAGGTACCTGCAAGGCACAGAAAAAGACTGAATAAATGCTAGATATTTATTTTCAGAACCTTACCCCTAACTCAACAAAAAACCTCAAAATGTCCAGGGAAGAAATAAACAGGCTGGCTGGCCACTTGGCTGGGAAGGCAAAAACGGCAGTGGCCCCTTTGTCTCAGGGATGGGGGGGAAAAAAAAAAAAGGAGTTCACATAGCAACCAGATGGGAACCTGCTGAACCTCTGGCATTGGTCTCCTCCTCACAGCAGATGAAGTTGGTGGATTTTGGTGAACTTTTTCTTTTTGGTTCAGCTTTCTTTTCAGAGGTCTCAGGCTTGGAGCGGCTCCCGCTGGTCCCCTGCAGGTCCTGGTCCATTTTGGCAATTGTCTGACTATAGACCAAAAACCAAGCCAAAAGAGTTCAAGAATAAAAATGGAGGATCGCTGCTGCAGATCAGGGGAAAAGGTGGGGAAAGAAAAAAGGAACTTCTTGTTTAAGCAACCAAAAAAAAGGTTAGTTAAGCAACAAAGTAGCTGCCAATGTCCACGGCAGGGCACTGAGCACATCTGGGACTGAGCCTTAAATTGCAATGCAAGATGTGGCTGGGGTGTTTTCTGTTGCCATCTGTTAGAACCAGGTGGGGCAGTTATCTTCTGTTTATGGGTCAGCCATTAAAGCTAGGCGGAGCAGTTTTCTTTGTCTCTTCCAGGACTCATCCTTCCCCCAGGAGATCTCTGCTGTCCATGGCCACTGAGTGTCCCTGCAGGGCTGATCAAATTCCAGCATCCCATGGGGAGATGCTCCGCCCAGGGCAGGAGCCAAGCATTCCTACCTGGATACAATCTGAGCCTGGAACAGCACAGCAGCCTTTGCCCACTGCATTCCCAGAGGAGCAGCTTTCTGCTGCCCTGCATTCCCAGAGGAAGAGCAGGCCCATCTCCAGCAGCCCTGGAGCTGCAGAGGAAAACTGCAGCCTTGTGCAGGATCCCTGCTCCAGCAGAAGCACAGCTGGCACTGCAGGAGGGCTGAGCCCCCATGGGATGGGACTGTGCCACCACCCTGACCCACAGGGGCAGCTCCTGCTCTGACTCTGGCAGTGGTGTTTTGTATCACTGCATTTTTATTTTTATTTTCCTAATAAATAACTGTTATTCCTATTCCCATATCTTTGCCTGAGAGCCCCTTAATTTAAAAATCCTAATAATTCAGAGGGAGGGGGTTTACATTTTCCATTTCAAGGGAGGCTCCTGCCTTTCTTAGCAGACACCTGTCTTTGCAAACCAAGTCAGTCTTTGAACAAAGCCCTCACTGGGGCTCCCAAGCTCCTGATCCTCCTCCCCAGATCCATCTTAAATCTACAATGTTTTACACCATTTCTGGGCATAAAACAGACAGGAAATAGAGCATCATCATAAAATCACCCCAAGACTGTTGCTTAGCTAGCTTGGGTTTTTTGTTAGCTTAAGCAAGAAACTTGTTTTTCCACTTTTCCTGGCCTGAAGAGACTGCAGCAGCAATCCTTTGGTGGCTTTTGTTTTTTTTCTTGAATTGTTCACCTTGGTTTTGGTCCAACATCACACAATTGCCAGAAGCCAATCAGGCTCCTGCCTGCAGGAGCTGCTCTGTCTAGCCCAAGACCTCAGGAAAAGCTGAACCAACAAGAGCAAAGACACCAAAATCCACCAACTTCATTTGCTCTGAGGAAGAGACCAACGCCAGAGGTTCAGCAGGTTCCCATCTGTTTTGCCCGAGCTGCTGCATGAACTTTTTTCCTACCCCGAGACAAAAAAGCTGGTGCCATTTTGTTCCTCCTGTCACACAGCTGGTCTGTTTGTTTCTTTCCCTGGCATTTTGGTTCTGCTGTGGGGGGTGGCTGTGTGTGTGGTGGGGGTAATGTTCTGACAGTTCAGTAGCTAGCATTTGTTCATTTTTTTTCCTTTGCCATGTGGGCACTTTGTCAATAAACAGTTGTTTTTTTCACTTTCACCCACTGGTATCAATTTTCTCATTGACAGGAAAAGGGATTACTGAAGCCTTTTTTTCTTTAGCAGAAACACTCATTCCAGAGCATTTTCTCCTAAATTTGTCTTTAAATGAGAAAACCTGCTCTTCCCAGCTACACCTCTCTACCCCGTTTTGTCCTCATCACCTTGTTAAATTTTTGGCTCCCTCCCTTCAATATGGAATCATCCTCTTTGCCTTTGTTTTTCCTTAGCTCCCATTTTACCCTGTGTCCATGGCCTCACAATCATGAGAGCCCAGAACACCCCACTGTGTGCATGCAGAAGTGTGTTTGCATTCCCACAGGTTTATGTTTGCATTCCCACGTGCTGTTCCAGCACTCCTACCTCCCTTTTGAGCTGTCACCTCTGCTCAATACAGTGCAAGGCCACGTGTGGTCTGGCTAGGAGTGACATCAAGGCACTGCAAAAACATTGGACATCCTCCCACTTGTGCTGAGCTGGGCAAAACATGAGTCAAGCTGTTCAGGTGCTCTTCAATTGCACAGCCCAAGGGTATTGAAACTCAGAAGATTCAGTGATCCAGAGAAGAGCAGATAAAATATAACACAGAGTTGTTGGAGTGAGTCCAGAGGAGGCCAAAAAGATGATTAGAGGGATTGAAGAACCTCTCCTACAATAAGGAAAGGCTGAGAGAGTTTGGATGGCTCTGCCAGGAGAGGAGAAGGCTCCAGGGAGACCTCAGAGCCCCTTCCAGTGCCTAAAGGGGCTCCAGGAGAGCTGGAGAGGGCCTTGGAACAAGAGCATGGAGTGAACAAGTTGGAATGGCATAAAACTGACAGAGGGGAGATACAGATTAGATGTGAGGAAGAAATTCTTCCCTGTGAGGGTGGTGATGCCCTGGCATCACCAGGTTGCCCAGAGAAGCTGTAGCTGCCTGTGCTAGGGTGGCTTTATGATTCTTGTATCCCCAGTCACGTGTTCTGTTTATGCTGGATATTAAGTTCTGCACCTTTAGGCTGGTTCAGAAAGTGAAGGGGGGAGAAGAGCACAGTTTGTTATCAGAAACTGCTCTTGCTCCCCCACATCTTCTCCTGGACTGTTGTCTGCAGCACAGACAGGGGGAGAGAGCTCTCTTCTACTTTTAGTTAGTTTTTAGCTAGCTGAGGCAGAAATGCTTCCCAGGCTGTGGTTTTTCTTTTTCTTGGAACTATTCAGCCCTTCTCTGGACTGAAAACCCAGAAGAACACGGGGAGCTCACACCTGTGGCCCACTGGGGCCCAGGATGTGGCATTTCCAGTGCAGGAGGGACTAATAAGAGACTGAGTGAGCCAAGCTACACCCCACAAGAAGGACTTTCTAAATTTGCCATCTATTTAGAAGAGCAAGAGGTTTTACTGTTTAATATTATTCATTTTTTATGCTTGCAAATACTTTGCTTTTTAAAAAAACAGGTTTTTTTCACTTTTCTCCAAGGAAATATTTTCTCAAACCAGCTGGGGGAGAGGCCTCTTGAATCTACTTTCTAGAGGAACCCCTTTAGAAGTTTGCTCATAAATTTGCCCTAAACCAGAACATTGCCCCATCCCTGGAAGTGGCCAAGGCAAAGCTGGATGTGGCTTGGAGCAACCTGGGATAGTGGAGAGTGTCCCTTCCCACCCAAACCACTCCAAGATTCCATGAAATGGATCTTCAGCCTACTGGAGGCACAAATGAGCTGGAAGCAGAAGTACATCAGCTGTGCTTGGATGCCTTTATTTGTGAAATGAGCCAAAACAGAGAGTCTCAGAGTACAATTTCCAAAGAGGCTCCTTCAATAACTGAACATTTAGCTCCAAGCTCTTCCCTCAGCCTTTACCCTCAATGCCTTGTTTTCCATAAAAGCCTGAAGGAGGCACTCCCCAGCCTTTTCCAATGAAAGGACAAAGGACTGGACTCCTTTGTTCTGGGGTACTGAAGATGAGCACCACAGCAAATCCTCCGAAAAGCAGTGCCAGAGAGAAAATGACACCACAGCCAGTCCCTCCTGGCAGGACAATGTCACGTGGCACTGCTTTTATCCAAAACTCTGTTGTGATCAAACTGAATATCCATGAGGTACTTTGGTCCAGGGAAAACATGTAGGCATGACAATGGAGAGAAGAAATACTGTGGTTTAACATTCTTGACACTACCAAAAAAACCTTTTGAACTGTACGGTCAAAGATGGAGAACCACCATGTAAAACTCCAGGCTTCTTCTGCACCCATCCAGTGGGAAAAGAATGTTGGATTGAGGGGCATGAGATAATATGAAAGGAAGCACAGGAAAACCACATTTTTGTCTTTACAGTATAAGACAAAAGTGGTCCTAAATCTTTTAAAGACAAAATGGATCCAGCAAAAAAGGAATAGATTAGAACAGAGTGGAAAAGACTTGACATTTCCCAGAAAGCTTTGTAACAAATTGTTTTCTTCACAATATAAGACAAAAGTGGTCCTAAATTTTTAAAGACAAAATGGATCCAGCAAAAAAGGAATAGATTAGAACAGAGTGGAAAAGACTTGACATTTCCCAGAAAGCTTTGTACTTTTTCTAAGAGATCAACTGTCACAATATCCCTCAGTTTCCTGGAATGGACAAATCAATTTCATCCTACACTGCAGCCCAACAGCACCATTTTCCATGCCCAAAGCATCATGACAGGCATCAATTCAAAGCCACCAGCACTGAAGAGAAAATTCTGCTGCCTGTTAGACATTCTTGCTCCCTGCATGCTGTTTCTTCCATCACATTTTTTTTTCTTAGCTGAGTATCTCAAATTTACAAAAAAAAAGGAGTGTTTTTATGAGAGAAGGGGATGATCTTGCTAGACAGACACGATAAATCACTCCTTGCAAGTGTGAGATTATTTTCAGTGCTGCATCTGCTCCAGCTCCCCTGTTAGTGAGCCCAGTTCTCTCTTGCAAGTTTATTCAATGCTCTAGTGGGTGTCTCACTGGACAAAGTTTACAGTCTCACCTTCCTGGAGACATAACAGGAAAAACACAGAGGAAGTGCCTCCACTCTAATTCTTAATTTCTTTCTTTTTTTCCCTCAAGTAAAAAGCACCTAATCTTCTCTGATGGGAGCACTGTTGGACCCCAGTAACAGCCTGCAGTGCCTGAGGACAAGCTGCAGAGGGAGATAGGAAGGCAAAAAAGACAAGGAAACCCAAGAACTGGCAGTGATGGCCTAAGCAAAGACAATGTCCTGTGGTGGAGAGACCCTGCCTGTCCTCAGTGCCCACACAGCCCTGGGCTGCCTTTATCCACAGCCACCTGCAGACACAGCTAGAAGTACGTGGTCTTCGTGCTCTCATTGTCTTGGCCACCATCTTTTCCTTTCACCTGCCCATTCTGAGAGCTGCTGGTGGCATTTTCACAGACCTGGTGAAAGGGAAAAGGGTGTAAAAGCAAGGAAAGGTGTGCGAAGAGCTGATGGCAGCTGTCCCTGAGACAAGCAGCCTTCAGCAACTTGAATCCCATTCCTGACTGTTCCTGTGAACACCCTTCTCCCATCGAGACAACAAAATTATTGGGGTGCAATTCCACCTGGTCCCATGGGGAATGAGGGGTGGGAGCTATGACAACTGTTCCTGTGGACACCCATCTCCCAGCAAGACAAAATTATTGGGGTGCAATTCCACCTGGTCCCATGGGGAATGAGGGGTGGGAGCTATGAGAGGGTGAAAGCTAGAGGATGTGGCTGCAAGGAACCAGTGCTTCCCCGAGGAGGGCAGAAGGAGGAAGCACTGGCTGTTGTATCCCATGGACAGGAATGAAGGGATGACCTCCACATGCAGGATTATGGGGTCTCCTCCCCTCCCTCCACAGCGGCACAGCCCCATTCCATTCCCTCCCACCTCTGTAACTCCCAAGGGAACCCCCAGCACATGCAATGCCAAGGGGCTGCCCATGTCCCCACCCCAGAGGCAGCACCAGGGACCCACCTCAGCCGGGGGGTGGCCGTCCCCGGTGTCGTCTGCCAGGTCGGTGCCGCCGGTCTCGGGCAGCAGGACGCAGAGCAGCCCGCCCAGCACGGGGGTGCTGCCGAAGATGGCCATGGGGATGGCCCGGTGGTGCTGGCCCAGCAGGCGGACCAGCGGGGCCAGGATCCCGGCCACCCGCGCCGCCATGGAGCACAGCCCCACGCCCGTCTGCCTGGGGACACGGGGAGGCGTGGGCTGGGTCAGCACCCCCGGGCCACCACGGGGGCAAGAGGGCTCCTGCCCCACCATCACTGCCAGCTGTGGCAGAAGGAGGCTCCAAAGTGTGGGGAGAGCTCACCTGACAACCGTGGGGAAGAGCTCAGCAGCATAGACGTAGGAGGTGGAGAAGGAGGCTGAGGCGGCAAACTTGCCAATGGTGGCCAGGACGGTGGTTGCCACGGGCTGGTCTGAGGGGAGGAGGAGAGATGGCTGCTGTGGGATGGGGGAGGGCTCAGCACCACTCACGGATGGCAACTGGGGATTGCAGGGAAACTGTGTCACCTGCAGGGAGCCATGGCCTCTGACAGTGTCTGGGCATGGACCAGGCTGCTCTGGCCTGGTGGCCACTTTCAGTGCACTCTGCATCCATCATCTCACCTCCCCAGGGACTGATTTTCCCAGAGCACAGCTCTGTTGACAGGGGGCCTACTGGGCTCAGCTCTGCCCTCCACTGTCGCCATCAGCAAGAAAATGGGTTGAACCCACAGGGCCCATTTTTTTTGGTTTGGGCCCAGTGGGTTTGGCCAGGCCCCTGTGGCCAGGGTCAGCTCAGGCCTAGAGGGTTGTGAGCCACCCTGGCTGGGAGGACAGAACCAGCAAGGGAAGGGTTGGGGCTGTGTGCCTCCCTGTCCCAGAGGATATCCTCTCTGTGTGGGATGAGGTGGTTCACCTTCAGGGATGCCGGTGATGATCAGGCACATCAGGCCACTCAGCACCAGGAGAACGACCTGCGTCTTCCTCCTCCCGAACCTCTGCAGAGTGAAGATACAACCAACACGGGCTGGGATTTCCACTGCTCCAAAGGCCAGCTGAGTCAGGTAGATGTCCAGGCCAAAATTTGTCACATTCAGACTCAGCCCGTAGTAGACAAAGCTGTTCACAAACCTGAAAGCCAGGCAGGGTGGCACTGAGCACACGTCAGCCATGAGGAAAGGCAGCATTGATCTCCAATGACAACATTTTGACCAAGCCACAGCATTTCCCAGGAGTTGTAAAACCAGAGGAACACCACAGGCCTGCCAAAGCTGGAAATGCTATAACCTTCCCCACAAAGCACCTTAAACAGCCAGAAGCAGAAACACCCAAAAAACACTAAAATTTCACAAGGTGAATTTCTTAATGACTAATTCAATCCCTTCCTTTCTTTCACCTGGAAGTTAAGGAAGAATGAACCAGGGAGTGTCTTACCAGGCACATGACATGATTAAAGTCACCTTCCGCAGGTGCTTCTTCCGAAAGAGATCCAGGAAACCTCCAGACTTGACTTCTTTCTCAGGCTTCAGCTTCGAAACACAGAAAGTCAAAGAGTCAGAGCAGGAAAATGAAAGCCATGTCAGGCTCCTTTTCCACCTGCAGTCCATGGAAAGCCTCAATGGGACAGGCCAGTGCTCTGACAGGGAGGGCAGCCCAGTGGGGCTGGGCTCCTGCCTCTGCCCTCTGGGTGCCCAGCACAGGGGGTGGTGACTGAGAGGTTCCTCAGGATGAACATCTCCCCAGTGTAGGAATTTTGGGGTGGGCAAGGAGGGAACTCCCCTCCAGGCATTTCTGCATGGAAACTCACAAACACAAGAGAGACTCTGTGCTCATCAGTCCCACTCCTGGAATCCTCACAGGAAAAAAGGCAGGGAAGCCTTTCAGTCCTTCCCACATGCCCAGAGGACCCAGAAAGCTCCAGGCTGAGCCTCAGCAGAAGCTGGGCCTCTTCCCTGACCTCATCCCTGTGGAACTCATGGGGAGCTGGAGTCCCCCACAGCCCATGGGCAGAGCATCCCCAGTGGGAAGGCAGAGATGCTTCTGGGATGAGCTGAGCTCCCGGGGCTGCTGCAAGGCCCAGGGCAGTGTCTGAGGACAGGAACCCCCAGTACCTGCTGCAGGAGCTCTGCTGGGAGGCTGCGCTTGTTGGTGGCTGCCGCCTTCTGCAGGACCTTCTTGGCTTCCTCGATTCTGCCCTTGGTCACCAGCCAGCGAGCTGACTCTGGGAGCACCCTGCCACGAGAGGAGGCCAGCACATGCTGCTGTGTCCTGCTGAGATCCCCCACAGCCCCTTTCTCTGGGACCATGTCCAGCAAGCCTTGGAATCACCAGAGAATCAGATCCTGGAACCACAGAATCCTCTGCGATGGAAGGGACCCACAAGGATCATCAAGCCCAACTCTAAAGTGAAAGGCCCATGGGATCAATGGGTCTGAACAGCCTAAATGTAGGCTCCAAAGGCCACATTTGGAGAGCTGAAGCAAAGCAGCTGCTGCTCTCAGCAGTGCAGTGCCCAGGGAGATGTGCTGAGCTCTGCAGCAGCTCCTCCAGCACCTGCACTCCAATGGGAAACACCCAGCTTGGTTCTGAGCTGCTGCCTCCTCCTCACTCACACCCTCACAACCGCTGTCATGTCTGCAGGAGCTCTGTCCACATCCGACTTACCCAATACAGAAGAAATAGGCAAATATAGGAACAGATCCTGCAATTTGCAGCAGCCTCCAGTTGCGAATTCCGTAACTCAAACCAGCCAAAATCATCTGCCCGATGGCAAAACAGCAGTGAGAGGTGAGCACTGCCTTTGGCCGGGAGGAGACACCGATCCATTCCGTAGCTGAAAGGAAGAAGGAAGGCTCAGAGCCATCCAAATTATTTCCCCTGAGGCAAACAGGTGTTTCCCTGGGGAAGAATTATTCTGCAGGTGAGGATTAGACTGGCCTCCTGTTCTGGGACACTCTCCCCTTGCCCTCCTGTGAGCACTGGCTGGAGAGAGATGCTCCCCAAAGCTCTGACTGAGGGCTGAGAAGTTGCCAAAGTACCAAAGGACAGTGAAGACCAAGATCGTCCTCACCATGGTGTTTTTCTTGTCAAACATAAATATTTTTATTTCTTTGAAGAATTATCTATTGCATCTTGAGATGCCCCAGGGCAAGGGCATCCTACTCACCTAAGGCCAGTATTGTCATGGTGATCCCTGACACGGAGGCCCCCACCACACACCTGAAGGCCATGTACACATAGAAATGGGGCACAAAGGCAATTCCCAGGCCAAACAAGCCCTGGAGGAAGACGGAGATCAGAATGACTGGGCGGCGGCCGATCCTGGGGAGAAACAGGGAAGACACAATCAGTGTCTGGAGACCCCATGGAGATGGCAAGGAGCCCAGCAGGTTATACAGTGATTTTTATCACCCTGATAAGGCTCAGAGTAGACTGTGGGGTGACAAGCACTGTACACACATGCTGTGTCTCTCTCCCTTCCCCTCCCTGTGTGGCCATGTCCTCATGGGACCGGAGGACTTTGGTCAGGTCCCTGTAGGGAGAAGTGGTAACAAAATGCACAGGGTGCACAGTCCAGACAGGCTCACACCACCTGGTCTGTGCCGTGCTGGCTTTGCACAGACCCTGGGCAGGGGGTTGTGGCTCCTCACCTGTCACTCAGAGGCCCAAAGATCATGGATCCCAGGAGCAGCCCTGCCATGTAGATGGCCTGGGCAATGTCATTGAGGTCCTTCCTGTCACACACCAGGTCAAACTGGAGAAAGGAGAAGGAGATGCTTTGGTATCCCCACTTCCAAGGATGTGAATCCCCACAGTATGCACAGGGCACACAAGGCAGAGGTGGGACAAGCTCTTGGGGCACTCAGTGGGAATCCTCTGTCATGCACTGGGACCTGCAGGAGTCCCCCTTGTCCAGCCCAGCCAACCAGGGGAGCCTCCTGGTCAGCAAATTTTGCTTTAGGTGGGCCTGGGGACAGAAGCAGCAGCTTGCTTCCTGCCAGACCACCTGAGCTCCCAGAGGGGAAAGGATGCAATGCTGATTCCTGGGATAAGCAGTTTCTGTTAAACAGATGTCCTGCAATTGTCAGTATCCAGAGGATATTAATGGAAGGAGTGACATAGGAAGGATCATAGAACCATAAAATGGTTTGGGTTGGAAGGGACATTAAAGATCATCTAATTTGAACTCTCTTGCCATGGGCAGGGCACCTAGAACTAGACCAGACAGATCAAAACTCCATCCAACCCGGCCTTGAACACTTCCAGGGATGGGACAGACACAGCTTCTCTGGGCAACCTGTGCTAGGCTTCACTACCTAACAGTGAAGAATTTCTTCCTAATATTTAATCAAAACCTACTGTCCTTTATCTTAATCTTGCATCTTTCTCAGCCAACAATTGTGATGTTGGGCGTTGGACTAGGTGACTTTCAAAGGACCCTTCCAAGCCAAGCCATTCCATGCTATTAAATTGCAAAGTTAACCCCTGTATTCAGAGGGATGGGGAAACCCAGGGGCAGGAGGTCCCTCCAGGAGTGATTCATGTCCCCACTGTCACCTCTGTCACAGCCTGCACCCTCTCCAGAACCACACCTGGGGCCCGCATGGTGGAGCCAAGGTCCCCAACCCACACCTGCTGTAAATCCCAACTGCATGATGGTCAGGCACCAGCTCTGGGGGAACTGTGGCCGTTTGGGTGTCCCATCCCTTCCACAGCCCTGTCTCATCAAGCAGCAAGCACAGACCTCGGTCAGCAGGGACGGTGGCTGCTCTGAGGGGTACACCCAGCCACTGCTGCACTTCTGCGTGTGGTTCAGCCCGTAGGCCAGGATGGCATCCAGGTCCCAGTCGACCGGGGAGAACATGGAGCACTGCTCAAACTCCCCGTCGGCGCCGCGGGGCAGGGTGAGGTTCAGCTGCTCTTCCTCCGTCAGGTTGGGGCCGACGGCGCGGATCCAGCTGGTGTCACAGTGGTGAGGCACTTCCACCACCATGAAAAGCTGGCAAAACTGGTGGAAAGCCACACTGAGGCAGGGGATCACGGAGAGCAGCACCAGGCATTTCTGGAGTCGCCCAAAATCACCAATTGCTTTCAAAATTTCCCCGACACCTGACATTGGTGGCTGTGTCTGGGACAGGACAGTGCTGGGACAGACTTCCCAGGGGGCTGGAATTAATGTTTAAACCTCAGATAAGCTCTGCAGCCATAGGCAGTCACTAGAAGTACACCATGTAATATATTAATCATCCCTGCTCCACCCACAAACATCCAGTGCTGGCTGGAGCAGAAGGACCCCTGCTTCAGGGAACCTGGGCCAGCTCCTCTGCCAGGGCCAGGTGGCATGGACAGGGAACAGACTCTTCTCCACAGTGACTACAATGGCTGCAATTGCTGAACCACTCAGGAAAGCCAGGTTCAGAGGGGCCAAAACAAGCCCAGTGTGATGCAGAGCTGGGAACAGCCCAGAGGAGCAAAGGGAATTATGTTAATGGATGGGCAGGACCAGAGATGAGGAAGGGCAGCCAGTTCATTGTGATTCCAGGGGATGGGAGCTGTCATTCCCTTCATCTTTTGCAGCTTCCCTGTGCAACACAAGCCAGGCACAGGATGTCTCTTTCCACCAGTTCTGGGCCACCCTGCAGCTGCTGGGAGCTAAATGCGGGAAGGACTTGGGGAAAGGGTAAAGGATGGAGAAATCTGACACAGGGCAATGGTGCTTGAAGATGAAATGCCTAAAATGATCATCGAGAACGCGAGTCCAGCACTGCTCAGCCCATCCCTCATGTAGGAAAAGCATTTGCCTGGGGCCCCTTTGAGATGTCCATGAGATGCCCAAAAGCCATTTGGATACTCCTGCTGCCCACAGATCCATGAGAAGGACACTGGAAAACAGACCATGGATGCCCCACTGGGGCTGACCAGGGCACCCACAAAGAACAATTATTGTGGAGGAGAGGAGGGAGTGCACTTCATGCTCTCACCACTTGTCAGGGTATAAATCCTCCCACTTTCACACCAGCCTGTGGCATCCTGAGACATTCCTGGACACGGGAAGCTCATTCCCAGTTGCATGAAGAGCTTGGAGCAAACCTCTTGGCTACAGACAAGCTCTCAGGGCACCATCCTGAGTGCCCTCCTGACTCCATTTCTGCACACAACTCCTGCAGAGATGCACTCATGGAATGGTTTGGGTTGGAAGGCACCTTAAAGCTCATCCAGTTCCACACCTCCCACCAGACCCATCCAGCCTGGAGCTGATGTCCCTTTCCCCATGAGTCTTCCTGGGGGCTGTCAAACCTCCCAAACAGAAATGCCCCAGGGGCTGCAGACACCACTCAGACAAACCCCTTCCTCAAGACACGCCAACCCACCCAGTGACAAGCAAACCACACATCAAACACCTGGCAATGGACAATTTGTTCTTTATTGATTAAAAATTAGACACATGCAGTAAAATACAAAGTCCAAAAAAGGAAAAAAAAGCCTGACTATTTTACATCTTTCATTATAATCTACAATACACCAAAGTTGTGAAGAGGATCCGTTTTCATTAACAGAGCATTGTCCTTAAAAGTAGGAACTAACTTAAAATTACCACCTGCTTCCAGGTTCAGATCAGAAATTTGCACGAAAACCAAATTCTTAATGACACTGGAAAACAATTATGAACAGCATTGGCACTTACTGGAACAACATCAGAAAAGACAGTTGTCTAGCACTGTAATAGCCCAAGTAAATATTCTGGATCCCTACCCAAAAGATCTGGAGATCCATAGAGCAAAACCCATCAGCTTCTTCCTCGCTTATTTTCTCCATTAAAGAACTACGGAACCTTGGGTTAGCATGAGCTCAAGCTCTCTAAGTCCTGGCTTTGGGAAAATGGGGAGTAACAATAAATAGATGCTGCATTGTTCCATTTGAGCAGTTTGAGTCCTAACCTTCCTCAGCACCAGTACACAAATGAATGAGGAGGTCCCCAGGGCATGCAGGCAGAGGGAAAATAATACTGTACCACAACTACCTTGTCTCTGTATCCTAAAGGCTCCCAACACATCCACACTGAGCACAGGGTGATGGGAAAATCAAGGTGCCAGCCTGCTCTTCCCAAGCCAACAAGCTCAATGGGGGACACTGTAGGGAGTGCTTTGTGTCAGGCAACAGGGAATGGTGCCAACACATATTTGCCAACCCAGCCACCAACTCCCTGCTATGGGGCACTTGCTTGCCGGGCTCTAGAGAGCACCAGTTCAGCACCCCAGGATGATCTCACTCCCAAATTCTCATCTTCCTCTCCTTCCCCTTCACACTCACCAGCCATGGGGCTGCAAACAGCCCATGGGGACACACCCAATATCCACCCAGAGGCTACAAGCAACAGGGGCGGTAAAAAAAGAACATGCACAATTCAGGAAGCTTCCACAGCTGCTCATAGAGAACAAGATATAAATACAGATTGTTCATCTGAAGACTTGGAAATTAAAAAAAAAATAACCCAAAAAAATGAAACAGAACAAAAGTCCTAATTGAACCTAGTCATTCCGCTCTGTTTCTGCATTGTTTGTGTCTGATGGAAACAAAGCTCGTTTCCATCTGCATGTTAAATTACAGACTTACAACTTCTGTGTAGAAAACACTCCAGAGCCAAAAGCAGTTACAAAGGCCAACTGTGAAACAGTAGGAAAAAAAAAAAGAGTCAACACCATTTATTATTCACATATTGCATTACAAGTGTCTCTTATCAAACTCAGAGCATAATTTATATTATTCATGTAGAAACTCAACTTCAACACCACATGGAAAGAAAAGCTAAATACGTGTGTGACAGGGGTGCAGTGACATCCTGATCAAACGTCGAGGCTTGGGCTGACGTGCAGCCCGTCGACCCAAGGGATTGAGTGCAGGAGGGACAAACCCAGTGCCTGCCTTTGCCCAGTACAGCCACTCTACTGGTGATTCTTTATTGCTGTAAAACACGACAGGGATGGTTCCACGGGTACCAGCTTGCAAAGGACTGGGGAACACGTTGGGAGGCCAGCCAGGCATGACCAAACTGGGTTTCAGGGCCACTCAGAAGTGCATCTGTTCCAAAGGCAGAGTGACATAGATCTCCTCTCCCTGTGACCATGGATATTGTGTTCACCATCTGAAAGACCAGTTTCCAGGCAGCAATGCCTCCCTGGTCTGCTTCAAGAACAGACTATGTCTAAGATGCAGAATGAAAGCAACAGGAAGGACTGCTGAATGTAAATTAAAAGGTTCAGCCCTCATGCCATGCCTGGCACTCATGTGGAGAGAACCAAAATGATGAAGAAAAAAGAAAAAAAATTAAGGCAGTTTACATAGGGAAGCTGACTTCTAACACCTCAAAGTCAAGGAAGTTCTCCAAAACACAAACACAAGGGAAGGAAGCTCTCCCTCCTGTGGGTTAAGACTCTGCTTGCTTTCTCAGGTGCAAGCATTCAAACCAGCAGTTTTAAATCACACAGCCAAAGAGAAGCAGATTTCTCAGCACTCCAGGTGACCCAAACAACACGTACATTGGTGTTTCAGAGAGAAGGAGAAGCAGGTAAAGAACAAAAAAAAAAAAAAAAATCCGTTCAGTATTAAAACTTGTGCAAAAACAGCAAGTGAAAAAAAAATGAAACCACATGTAAGCAAACACTTAGGCAAGATCATCAGAGCAGTGGAACCCCCTGCTTCGTACTCAGTAGTATTTTTCTTTAAAGTAAGGCAATAATAAAATGAACATGCAGGCAATGACGTGTTGGGTCTGCATGTTTGAGATGACAGATACAAAAACATGAGAGTTGTTTACAAAAGGTGTAAACGTCATCGGTAATTTCAGGAAGGTTTGTGATCCTATTAAGGAAAATGTTAAAGCTTCTAGGAAGGGGGCTGTAGTTCAATTCTTTGGCAGTAGTGGTTTTTTTTTTAGGCTAACAGAAGCATTACGAATATGCACATGTGGGTTCTCTGTTGGGAAACATCTCCTGGGACCAATGTTTAGCTGATGCTGAGCTGTGCAAATCCTATAAGTTTGCCATCATCCGGAATTTCTGAGCCGTCGACACCAGATGCCTGAAACAGGGAAGAGAGATCCAAATAGCAACACACATGCTCTGCCTTCCAGCAGGAACCACAAGCAGGTGTATCAGTCAGGGTGGGGGCAGGAAGCAGCCACAGGACAGCTTTGCACTGTATTCAGCAGCTTGCACTACCCAAAGGTAAAATGGAGTGCTTTTGTATTTCTGCCTTTGTTTTTTTCTGAAGGTATGAAGGGCTGGGACTGAAGTTTTGCCAATGTCTGCTCCAACTAGACATTATATGTGCAATAACTGGGGTAAAACTCCTTAAAGGAAGAGTGAAAAATAAGCACTTACAGTTTCACTCCCATGAACCTGGTTAAGCCTTCACTTTGCCACTGTAACTCCCCACGAATTTCACCACCTCAAAGATTCACCTGTTCTACTCCCAGTTTGTAACCGGGGTAAAACTCCTTAAAGGAAGAGTAAAAAAATAAGCACTTACAGCTTCACTCCCATGAACCTAGTTAAGCCTTCGCTTTGCCACTGTAACTCCCCACGAATTTCACCACCTCAAAGATTCACCTGTTCTACTCCCAGTTTTGGCTCTCTTCTTTGGCCTATCACTTTTATTTTCCTTTTTTTCCCTTCATTTCCCCATCTCTTCCTCAGAAACTATGTATCTGCACCCTCCCTCATTCTCTTCCTCCAAAAAAGGAGTCGGTGGCAATTCTCAGCCCATTCACCTGCCTTGAAATATTTCTGCAAGTGCACATCCCAAGCCCCAAAAATACCCCTCTGCAACATCTACATATATTAATTAGCACATAATCTCATGCTTATTTATCCCAGGTGCTGCTCAGAGGATACAAGCAGGGAGCCTGCAGTGCCTACAGTTATACAACCAGTAAGAGGCTTTGGGAAAGAAGGGAGGATTCAGAGTGCATACATCAGATGCCTGCAGTAAACATCTACATGCAATGCCTTCTCCTTGCAAGAGACAACTTGATCAATTAGGGAACAGGAATAAATACCAGTCTGAAAGTGATGGATCTGTTTGCCTGGGGCTCTTCCACAATTTTCTGCAAATTAGCTGCAACTGAAATCACACAGACAC